CATCTAGGTCAAAACTGAACAGCCCTCTCTCAACAGAGGGGGAGGGATCTGACATCATCTATCTCCAGTCTATATCACAGTCCTTTCAGCAGTTCCAAGAAGACTCCACAGCCATTTGCACTACTCAGATGACCCTGATGACACAGATAAACCTCCAGATGGCCTCAATGACTCCATAAAAGAAGGCAAATGACCATCTGTTTGCAAGGAGTATAAATCCTTCCATTCCCCCACCATCCAGTCAGAGCTGAAGAAGCTTCTTGGAGGAAAAGCAAAACGTCTTCAAAGAAAAACAAGAAAGTCCAGTTGCCTCATGAAAATGCACCTTTGGGACATGGTGCTCCATAGTACTTTAGTCAGTCATGTCTCCATTTTTTTAAAAAGAAAAAAAAACTTTATTTGTGGCTCTTCTTAAATACTTTATTCCAGCTTAATCCTCTTTTCAGAGAATCTTTAACTTCTTTGTTCCTGAGAGTATAAATAAAAGGGTTGAGCAATGGTGTAACCAAAGTATTGAGAAGGGAGACTACCTTGTTCATATTTAATGAAGCATGTCCTGTTGGTCTGACATATATAAAAATAATTGCCCCATACAACAGAATAACAACGATTAAGTGAGAGATACAAGTAGAAAAAGCCTTTTGTCTTCCAGAAATGGATGGGATTTTCATCACAGTGGAGATTATGAAGATGTATGAAACCACCGTCAAGAGGGAATTGCTGAACACCACGATGGTGGCAACCACAAAGACTATCCATTCAATAGGATGAGTGTCAGTGCAAGCCAGCTTTAGCAATGGTCCAACATCACAATAGAAGTGATTGATAGTATTGGGGCCACAGAATGGAAGCCGGAACACTAGGATAGTCTGTACCAAAACGGTCATCAGACCACCAAACCAGGATCCACAAGCCAGTTGAACACAAACTCTGCTACTCATGATTGCATGATAATGAAGGGGGTGGCAGATGGCCATGTAACGGTCATACGCCATAGCAGTCAGAAGGAAGAATTCTGTGGCCCCAAGGAAAAAGTGGGAAAAAGCTTGAGCTTTGCAACCAGTCAGGCTGATAGATTTCTTGATGGTGAGTAAATTGACCAAAAATTTAGGGATTGTAGCTGTCACATACATGATTCCTAAGAATGAAAGGTTGCTGAGGAAGAAGTACATTGGCTTATGGAGATTAGGGTCATAAACCACAGTTGCTACAATGACAATATTCCCAGTGACAGTCAAGATATAGATCATCAAGACACCCACAATCACCAGAAATCTTACTTTTAGGATGCTGGGAAATCCCAGTAAAATGAATTCGTCCACAACTGTATGGTTCTTCATCCCAAACCTATTCATCCAAGAGCAGAATAATTGTTGAGCAGCATCAGAGGGATGATTCATCAAGATTATTATTCTACAGCTTGATGCTTTATCAGCCAACCCAAACCAACCCAAATCTTTGGCCTAGAAGCAAGTTCAATCAACATCACATTTTTCCCAAAGGTGCAGGGTCCACTTTTTGAGACCTAGAACCAAGTTCAGTAGGAATAAAAAAAAATGTGTTTACATTTTCCAGAGCTTTTAGTGAAACATGTATGGGCCAGAAAGATAATATTTAAAAATAAAGATGATTTATTTTAAAAATTCTGCAACATAAAGTTTTGTTCTGTAGTTTCTATAACATGAATCTCTCTACCCATTTTTTCTTGGGTATTTGAAGAAAATGTTGATCAAACTATGTGCCTATTTTGTTTTTTCTACATTGATCTTTGTTAACTTGGTATTTACACACCGCTATGACATGGCAATTTTAAGGTCTTCTTAAGAGGAAGTGAAGGGGAGCTGTCTGCCCCACTGATTTCCCCTGTTAAATTGCTCTTACTGTTTGTGTGTTTTTCCTAGCAATCAGTTAAAATCTGCCTTCCATGTTACCTGAATCTATTAGTCTATCTTGTGAGCTATGGGGTGATAGAGAAAGGAGAAGACTTGACCTTCTTTTATGTGGTATCTTTCCAGAAATTGGAAGATGCCACATGGACTTTCATGTCCAACCTGTTCTTCAGTTCAAGAATCCAGATCAAAGCATTTCAGAGAGATGGACGTTCAGTTTCCTCTTGATTTCATCCAATGGAAAGGAGTCTGCCAGATTTAGTATTCTCTCTGGCAATCTATATTGGGAGAGAGAAAAACAGACAAGCATACATGTATGATGTATATAAGGGCAGCTAAAGCCCTTCCCTCCATCTTTGATTAAGTAGAGTCACCTCCGCTAGGTAGGCCAAACCAAGAAATCAACTTGCAGGACTACTAAAACTCCTTTTTATTCTATTTGGCTATAACAACAGAATTCTGCTAGTCTGACTGTACTGGATCTCCCTCTCTTTATTATGAATTAGGGAATCAATTGTCTAATCTACTTTTAAATGTTATCTGTTCACTGTGGACTTAAAACATTTATTTAACCCCTCATTGTCTTAGAAATGGAACTTGCATAGTTCCATCAAGGTCAACTTAATTCTCTACAGATATAGAAGTGCAAAGCTTTTCAATAATTTAATAAAATAATTAATCAATAAGTTTAATGTGTTACTATTATCATTTAACTCACATTCAATTGCTTACAGAGAAATTTATGAAAAATGGGGTTGAATATACATTTAACTCAGTTATTTAACTTTATTTATTATACACAATTATAATTTTAGTTAGATTACCTCTTTTCTGCAAAAATGTGGTCAACTAATCATTCACAAAAAATGATAAAAGAAGACAAAATACTCACCTGAGTAGATGCTCAGTTTAATTCATGAAGCAATAGATTGGATGTTATTTCTCTTTTTCATAAACTAACTTAGGCAAATAGTCTAGTCTTTATATACCACCCAGTGATGAATAATACAATCTTGGTAAGCCAACAATCAAAGTCAGAGAATGAGAACTCCATAGCTCGCCCCTGAGTTTCAGATAGTCTCTCTTCTATTGAAAACTTCTATTGGAAACTGACGGAAACAAAACATATTTCTTATAGACTATCATTTGTTTCCTGATGTTAGGTTGATGCATGATTGAGTCCCAAATAGATGTTCTTATGCCTCATCCCTAATTTCTGTACTCAGTTTGTATTCAGTAATGAAAATACAGATTCTTCACCAAGGGAAAAAAAATATTTCAATGTTTTCTAATTATTCCACCAAGGAGAACAAATCATTAGAGGGGGGAGGACCAAGGAAACCCTTGGAGACTTTAGTTGCCCAAAACAAGACAAAACAGAATTTAAATTATTTAAAATTGTGTTTCAAGATTTAATGCATCATTGTCATTGTCATCATCATCATCATCACCACCACCACCACCACCACCACCACCATCATCACCATTTTTTAGAACGCAGGATGGGCTGTTTACTTCTAAATGAGAAAGAAAATGTGTTACATTTTTCTATGGGATGAAGTTGTAGGTTTTCCAATATTGGAGGTTTTTAACTTTTTAAGAAGAGATTGGACAAACATTTGTCTGAAATGGTATAGGGTTTCCTGCCTGAGCAGGGGGTTGGACTAGAAGACCTCCAAGGTCCCTTCTGACTTTGTTCTTATTCCCCCTCCTCCTTCTCCTCTTTCTTCTTCTTCTTCTTCTTCTTCTTCTTCTTCTTCTTCTTCTTCTTCTTCTTCTTCTTCTTCTTCTTCTTCTTCTTCTTCTTCTTCTTCATCTTCTTCTTCTTCTTCTTCTTCTTCTTCTTCTTCTTCTTCTTCTTCTTCTTCTTCTTCTTCTTCTTCTTATTCTTCTTCTTCTTCTTATTCTTCTTCTTCTTCTTCTTCTTCTTCTTCTTCTTCTTCTTCTTCTTCTTCTTCTTCTTCTTCTTCTTCTTCTTCTTCTTCTTCTTCTTCTTCTTCTTCTTCTTCTTCTTCTTCTTCTTCTTCTTCTTCTTCTTCTTCATCCAGAGTTGGAAGGGATATTGAAGGTATTTTAGTCCAACCACCTGCTCAAGCAGGAGGCCCTAAACCATTTCAGACAAATGGTTGTCTAGTCTTTCTTTTAAAGCCTCCAGTGATGTAGCTCCCACAACTTCTGAAGGAAAGCTGTTCCATGGGTTGATTGCTCTCACCATTAGAACATTTCTCCTTAGTTCTAGGTACTTCTCTCCTTGGTAGGTTACTAACCAAGGAGAGTTTTATTATATAGTTACTGTATAACATATTATATTAATAATTATATTAATATTATATTAATAGTTATATTATATTACTGACAGGAAATTTCTCCTTAGTTGTAGGTTGCTTCTCTCCTTGGTTAGTTTCCAATCAGTGCTTCTTGTCTTGCCTTCTGCTGCTTTGATCTCTTCTTTGTGGCAGCCACTCAGGTATTGGAACACTGCTATCATGTCACACCTAGTCCTTCTTTTCACTAGACTAGACATCTCAAATTCCTGCAATCATTCTTCATATGCTTTTCAGCCTCCCCCCCAATCATCTTTGTTCCCCTTCTCTGCACTCTTTCCAGCATCTCAACATCTTTTATATATTGTGGTGACCAAAACTGGATGCAGTATTCCAAGTACTAAAGCAGTACTAACACTTCACATGATCTTGATTCTATGTCTCTGAATAGATTCAATAGATTGAAAAGCACAATTCAATAGATTGTACAACTAGATCACTGTACAAAAAGTCCAACTCAACAGACTGAAAACTAGCATTACCAGTTGGATATCACACCAAGCAGGCTGACTTCTCTAAATAAGAGATGAAATTTTCGTAAGTGGAAAAGAAGATAGTTTGACAATAGAGAGTTTGTCTATTGAACCACCTCATAGAATGATTTTTCCTCTAAGAAAAAAATTCAGTTTGACTATGACAGGAGGATTGTAGCCAAAATGAAGCTACTGAAAATGCATCTAATGAATGTCAGCATCTTGGGGGGAAGAATAAATCTCCATTATCCCATCTGGGAATCAAATCAAGTCATTCTAAATAAACTTTAATTTTATAGTATATTTTATTATACTCAATGAAACATTTTATCTTTAGTACATATCATTTTCTTCAAAGCTTCTTTGACATCTTTGTTCCTCAGAGTGTAGATGAAAGGGTTGAGCAGAGGGGTTACAATGGTATTAAGTACAGAAACCACCTTGTTTATTTCCAAAGAAGAGTTGGCATTGGGCTTAACGTACATGAACATTACAGTTCCATACTGGATGGATACAACTGTAAGGTGGGCAACACAAGTAGAGAAAGCCTTCTGTCTCCCTGAAGACGAAGAGATGTGCATTATGGTGAAGATGATCAAGCTATATGAGATGGCAGTGAATAGGAAGGTACTGAACAGAAGAAGGACTGATCCCAATAACACCATCTGTTCAAGCAGATATGTATTAGCACAAACTAAACTCAGTAAGGGGGTCACATCACAGTAGAAGTGGTTGATCATATTGGGACCACAAAACGGGAGCAGGCATAGTAAAACCATCTGGACAATGACAGTGAATAACCCTCCCAACCATGAGCCCAAGGCTAGTTGGAGACAAAGTCTGAAATTCATGATGCTGTTGTAATACAATGGTTTGCAGATGGCAATGTAGCGGTCAAAGGACATTGAAGCAAGAAGGCAAAATTCTGTGGCTCCGAGGAAGAAATGGAAAAAAGCTTGAGAGATGCAACAGTAGAAACAAATGGACTTTTTCTCTGCTAAAAAGTGAGCCAACATCTTGGGTGACAAGGTGGTGACATAGAAGATCTCCAAGGAAGAAAAATTCCCCAAGAAGAAGTACATGGGATTATGGAGATGAGGATCATGGGCAACAATGACAATGATCAGGATGTTTCCAGTGATTGTGAGGAGGTAGATAAAAAGAATCGGGACGAAGAGATATTTCTGCAACTCAGCCGAGCCTGGAAACCCTTGCAGGATAAACTCAGTGACCACAGTCTGATTTATCTGATACATTTGCAGGGATATCTTTTGCCTATAACTGTCAAGGACAAACGAGAGGGTAAAAATTACATGCTGGTTATTTTATCATCCTATTTAAATTGGTCATCCCTCTTTTCAAATGAAGAAAATGTCTGATACTAGATTGGGCCCATATGTCAACAGTTATGCAGCTTATAACATAAAATATGGAATCACAGGTTAGATGATTGAATTAGAAAATTAAAATGATTTAGGGCATTCATTTGTGTGAGGTACATCAGGGGCCTTTATACAATATTCATTTCTGTCACTTTCAATAGCCAACTCACAAAACCTTGGGTGGCTTACAATCTTTCAATCAAGAAATTCTTAAATATTTGTCTATTGAACCAGACCACCGAATGAATTTCTCTCTAATAGAAATCTCAGTTTCTAATAGAGCCATGGTTAGAATGTTGTATTGTAGGCTGACTTTGACCACAGCCAGGAGTTTGATCGAAAATTTTTTTATATTAATGAAATTAATTAATTAATGAAAATGAGGAGTTAGAACTAAGCTAACAGGAATAAGAAAAAGGGAAAATACACAGTCTTCTGCTCCAGAAGCGAAGAAAAAATGCGTCTTAGAGCAAAGAGACTAAGTCTAAAACTGGGGTGAAGTTGGCACAGAGGGGGCGGTACTAAATTTCAGACTTAGTCTAATTGGAGCAGATAGATTAAGACAACCCATCTGTGGGTTCTCCATCCAATCATGCTGGAGAATGTTGTATTGCAGGCTGACTTTGACCACAGCCAGGAGTTTGATCCTGGCCAGCTCAAGGTTGACTCAGCCTTCCATCCTTTAGAGGTTGGTAAAATGAGGACCCAGAGTGTTGGGGGCAATAGGATGACTCTGTAAATCTGCTTAGAGTGGACTGTAAAGCACTATTAAGCTGAATATAAGTCTAAATGCTACGCTATTGCTATTATAGAATATGAATAGTAATCTAACAATATAGATGTGCTGAAAAACAATAAAGAAAAATAGGAGCCCAGGGATCACACAAAGTAGAAAAAAATATTTAGGGAAAAAACAAAATAAGAAAGCCAAAACGAATGACATCATATAACCTCATGTGAATTCATAACGATTTCAGAAGCTACAAGAAAATATGTAGAAATAAACCAGTAAGAGAAAGGCCAAATGGGGAATTTTAGATGTAGCAGGCTGACTGAAATGCTTTGCGGGAGCCTGGCCAATGAGAGGGGAGTAGAAAGCTCAGACAGCTGCTGCTGGTTTCGGTGTGTGGGTGTAGACTGGGGGAAGGGAAGAAAAGGAGAAGGAAAAAGGGGGTGGGGTGTTGTTGCTGTTGGGGAGAGACCAGGTAAAGCCAAAGAGAATTGGAGTTTTAGGTGATTCCTCTCCTTTGGAGTAGTGGGAAGGAGAGGAAGAGAGAGGAGGGGGGGTTATTGCTTTCTTTTACAAGGGGATATCCCAAGCAAGGGGAAGAGAGAAAGTGAGAGTGAGGAAGTTTCCTGGGGTGCTGAACCAGGTTTTAACTAGATTGGCATAGAGAGAGACCTGGGACAACGGGCCCCGACAGAAGAGGAGGTGAGCCGCTACTGCTTCGGAGACCAGCGGCCATCCAAACGTTGATCACTATCAGCTGTTCATGCTATAAACATTGTGGGGAGTTGCCCTAGCAGAGTGAGCTGTGACTGCGAGGTGTTGATTATCTCTGCTCATAGTTTCTGCTGCTGATTGAAGCCAGGGAGTTCTTTCCACACACCCCTTTTGTTTCTCAAATGACTGCTGGGGACTATTGACTATTATTGCTATGACTGTCTGAGGCTGTTAAATACTGTTATGCACTGACCACCATGCTTAGGGGTCAGTCACCTTTGTTCCTGAAAACTCCCCCTCTGACGACGAGAACTTGCCATCTCTTCACTCCATGTGAGCTCCCGCTAAAACTGGACATTCTGTCAATGCCTTGAGAGCACAGCTGTTGAGCGGGAATAAAGGGGGAGGATTAGGAGGGTCTGTGCTTTGGTGGCCTCCGAGGGATAACGCTACACAGAAAAGATTATGATTAAAATATTGAGGATGATCGGCAAATATTTAAATCTTTTGACCATCTCACACAACTTCTTTTAAGATACGATGTGTCTGTATATAATTTAAATACATATAGGGGCCATATAGGGCAGGACACCACATCTGTTTTCAGTAAGTTTAGATGCTTTAGCTACTTGCTTTATTTGTATTAATTACCTTGTGTTTTACTCTTCTTTAAACTCCCGAGAGTCAGTTTAGATTATGACAGGATAAAAATTTGATAAACTGATAAATAAAGCACCAAAATCCATATGCATTCCACGAATAAAAAAATGTGCAAAAAATTAAAGTATCTGTAAGAAGAGAATGTCCACCCATCCTATGAATGACATACAAGTTATAATTATGGGAAAAACTTTCCTTCTGGGAGAGCCAGTATTATAATCTCTTGCATTTTGCTTCTATATTTCTCATGTTATCTTGATGGATATGGAAACATGTTTTGACAGAGGCAAAGAAGATGGCATTAAAAAGTGTTAGGTTTTTGTTTTGTTATTTGCTGCCTTCATTGTACTACTAAGATCAGTTTTTAAATTAAAAACTCTTTGAGGGGGTCAGAGTCTGGAAGAGATCTCCTTAGGAAAAGAAGGGCATTAATATTACAAAGATTTCCAGATCTTGATCAAACCTTCATAGATTGGTAAGTGACTGTGTTAAAGACGTAAACTAAGTCAGGTTAGGAAAAGAAAACACATAAAACTTCGATGTGCTTTAACATCAGGAAGGATTTTTTTTTTTAGGGTGGTATGTTAAGATGTTGTGTGAACTTAGTCTATTTGTTTGTTTAATTTTGGTTCTCCCCACCCTTCACAGTTGTGAGACTTGTGGCAGCTTAGAATGACTAAAATAAAATATCTGCAGTAGAAAATCAATTGCGATGCTTAAATATTGCACACTTCGTCCCCAAGCCCTAATACAATTAATCAAAATTAATCAAAATATATACAGAGTTGATAAAATTAATAAATAAATGATTTTCCTGAATTGTTCTGCGTTTGTGATTTCCTGTATCTTAACAAGATAGACATGATCAGAAATCAAGAACTAGAAAAGTGTATCTAGTCTAACCCCCTGCCCACCCAAGCAGGGGACCTGCAAATGTAATAGTCAAGTCAAATAAGCAATAGAAATCTGGCTTACAAAGAAATACTGTTCAGGTGCTGAAGATGAAGTGTACTCACAGAATAAAAGGCAATTTTTCCAAGCTCTATCATACAGAATTCCACCTTTCCATCAACAATAAGCTTTTCTGAGATTTAAAGAAAATAAAACACACACATATAAGAAAGGAGTTCAAAACTCAAGGCACTCTGCAAGATGGAAGAAAATAGAGGGCTACAGCCAACTGTGCCCCATAACCTGCAAAAAAGGAGAAAATATATAGATTTTACTTAAATGTTATGGTTCCATCCATGATGCTGCATAACAATGGGTTCTTTACAGCTCTGGTATACTTTTAGTCATACTTCCCTAAGCCACAAATGAGTTTTGAAGCAAATCTTAATAGCCCAGAGAGACCTAATTAGAATTGTGTGAATATGCATGTCTTTCTTTCTTTCTTTCTTTCTTTCTTTCTTTCTTTCTTTCTTTCTTTCTTTCTTTCTTTCTTTCTTTCTTTCTTTCTCTCTCTCTCTCTCTCTCTCTTTTCTTTCTTTCTTCCTTCCTTCCTTCCCTCCCTCCTGACTCCCTTTCCCTCCCTCCCTTCCTTCCTTCTGTAAAATTATGCTGCATAGGCATATAATACAAGCTAAAGTGGAATGTTTTTTGCTCGATGGACACATTTTTTAAAGGTTTACTCCCTAATGCTTTGCCACACCATGTTTGTTTATGGAGTAGTGGGCAAACACAATGACTAAAACAACTTTATCCAGTTGCAGTTTGGGAAGCACAGATTAGTTTGAGATGGTTGAAATCTTGTGGGAATATCTACTCCAGGCATGTCAAACTACCGGCCCACGGGCCAGATGCGTCACATCAAAACCATGCCCACCCCATTGCTGGCAATGGGGAAAAAGTCCTGATACGTCGCACAATGTCACATGACATCGCAAGTTTGACATGCCTGATCTATGCTTTGCAGGGGAGAAGAGGTTGGCATACTATCTTAATGTCATACTTCTGGGATAAATGTGTTGCCAGTTGGGTCAGGGTGGATGAGTTCTGTTTTAGTTGGTGAGTGGGACAAAATTTTTCCTTGGGTGTCAAGAGATGTTGGTGGAGTTGCTTGTTTTAGTCTTGTAAGCTACCCAGAGACACTTGCATGAGATGAGTATGGGTGCACACAGAGACACACACACAGAGAGAGACACACAGACACAGACATAGACACAGACATAATATATATAAATATATTCAGGTGGTCTGTGACTTACAACCACTTGTTTCATGACTTTTCGAAGTTACAACATCACTAAAAAAAAGTTACTTATGACCAGTTTTCACATTTAAAACTATTGCAGTAATCCAACAGTTATGTGATCAAAAATTTGGCAACTGGCATATGCAATATTTATCACCATTTCACTGTCCCAGGGACATATGATCACTATCCGTAATCTTTCTAGCCAGCTTTGATAAGCAAAGTCAATGTGGGACGTCTATGGATATAGACAGGCATAGATATAGATGATATAGATAGATACAGACATATAGACATATAGATGTAGACATAGAGGTAGATATAGACAGAGAGGTAGCTATAGATGTAGCTGTTACTATAGTTATAGATATAGATATGTAGATATTTCTTCCTCTAAAGTACTAATCAGGCATTCCTTGTTAATCTTGTTGATGCCTTCAAAGCTATGTTGGGATTATAGTGTTTATTCTGATTCAAAACATCAACTAAAATTCACAAAAGTTGAAGTGCAACTCTTTACTTAAGAATAGAATAACAGAGTTGAAAGGGACCTTATAGGTCATCTAATCTAACCCCCTACTTAAACAGGAGACCCTATACCATTTCTGACAGATGGCTGTCCAAAACCTTCAGTGATGAAGCACTCACAACAAACTGCTTCATTGGTTGAATGATCTCATTGTCAGAAGATTTCTCCTTATTTCTAGTTTAAAATAAACCCAATGAGAAAAAAATGCATATGTCAAGCTATTTTCCAAACCACTTGAAGACAGGACTAGACGCAATGGATGGAAACTAATCAAGGAGAGAAACAACCTAGAACTAAGGGGAAACTTCCTGACAGTGAGAACAATTAACCAGTGGAACAACCTGCCTCCAGAAGCAGTGAATGCTCCAACACTGGAAGTTTTTAAGAAGAGACTGGACAGCCATTTGTCCGAAATGGAATAGTGTTTCCTGCCTGAGCAGGGCGTTGGACTAGATGACCTCCAAGGTCCCTTCCAACTTTTTATTATTATTATTATTATTATTATTATTATTATTATTATTATTATTATTATTATTATTATTATTATTATTATTATTATTATTATCATCATTATTATTCCAGGCATGGAAATAATGCTCGATAATCACTGCATAAGATTAATTTCATGTAAAAAAATGCATTCATTTAGAAAACACCAATAATCTCTGTCTTAATCTCTCTCTCTCTCTTTCTCTCTCCTTCCCTCCCTCCCTCTTTAACATTTGCAAAGACCTCTTTTTCAGAAAAAAAAAATGATAATCAAACTCCTGTGGGAATGGGGTAAGCAGAATTTGAGATTAAAAAGATGATTAAATTTGAAATAAATTAGCATTGACTTATTTGCCACTCTGCACATTTAAGCAGTGACTATTCTTTAATGCTCAGTGGAATTTGAGGTTTCAACAGCTGAACATGAGTCAGGTAAACTGTGCCCTATTATAGGCCACCCTATGCAAATCCTTTTTCCTTTCATCAATCTTATATGAGACTTGTGTATCTTTTCTTAGCACTTTTTGGAATGTTCTCTGTTCCAAGAACATTGTGAATTTTTTGGGGGGGCTCATAGATACAATATCATGAACATTTTAGTAACAGTTTTTATACTGGTGAACAGCTTCCTTGGTAAGTGAAATATATTTTCCAGAAAAGGAGGAAAGGGTTATATTTTTCGATATGTCCCCACTGGACTAAGGAAAATCGTATCTTATATTACTTCAATTAACTAATAATGCCTACCTACAGTCCATCATCTGTAATGATGGGGATATGATCGACTATTTTAATAGAATAACAGAGTTGGAAGGGACCTGGGAGGTCTTCTAGTCCAACCCCTGCTCAAGTAGGAGGCCCTATACCATTCCAGACAAGTGGCTGTCCAGTCTCTTCTTAAAAGCCTCCAGTGATGGGGCACCCCCAGCTTCTGAAGGCAAGCCATTCCATTGGTTGATTGTTCTCACTGTTAGGAAATTTTTCCTTAGTTCTAGGTTGCTTCTCTCCTTGATTAGTTTCCATCCATTGTTTCTTTTCTTGCCTTCTGGTCCTTTGGAAGATAGGTTGATCTCCTCTTCTTTGCGGCAACTTCTCAAATATTGGAAGACTGCTATCAGTCTACCTCTAGTCCTTCTTTTCTCTAGACTAGACATACCCTATTCCTGCAAACGTTCTTCATATATTTTAGCCTCCAACCTCCTAATCATCTTTTTGTTGCTTTGTTCTGCATCATTTCCAGAGGCTTTTGAATGAGTCTACCATAGTTAATAATTTTATTAATTGTTGTTGTTGTTAAATGCGAAGTTGTGTCCGACCCATCGCGACCCCATGGACAACGTTCCTCCGGGTCTTCCTGTTTTTTATTTATTTTATTTATTTATTAATAGGTTTAATGTATTGTTGACATTTTGAATGATGTTGGCATGTCAAAAATTATTTTCTTTCCTCACTCTTTCCATTTCATAGTTTGGATCCAACAGCTAGTAGTTTCTCTTCTTTCGTCTCTCATATCAACAATCCTGTGAATATATTACTTTGCCAATGTATCATCCTATTATATGGTGGTTCCAAAGTTACGAATTGTTAATAAACTAGGATGTTGGACATCACTTTTGAAGCTTTAATGTCTTGTGGGCATGCAGTAATTTCTGAAATTTGGAACATCTGGATTCAGATCTTCTATCATTTTGCAGTCATTCTGCTCCACTTGGCATGACAGCAGCTACATACAATTGAATAAAATGGCTATAAAATGGAATTTACTAAAGGAATTGGGGCGATGCTAATCTGATTTTGTAATCTTGTCCCCACTTTCTGATTTGCAGCTGTGGAGCTCCAGAAAATTCTGACCCAGCCCACCTCAGAAATTAAACTTCCTGGAGAAACTTTAACTTTAACCTGCAAAGGTATCTCCTCGTTTCTTCAATACTGGATACAGTGGACATACAAGATCGGCGACGAAGGAATTAAATGGATAGGAGAAAGCAACCTGGATGGCAGTAGATCAAGCGTACGTCAGTCTTTGAGAGATTGATTTGCCATCTCTAGGGATAATTCCCGGGATATTGGTTCTTTAGAGATAAGGCAGCTGACAGTTGGAGACAGCGGTCTCTATTACTGTAGTGCCCACAGTGAAATTGAACAGCACACAAACTGTTGTGTTTCCAAATGTCACTCTGATCTATTTTGCCTAGCCTAGATTGTTCTAAACAGCAATGGGCATAAACACCCTTCATGGCCAACTGAAATACTCAATATTGCTGTATGTTAGCTAGATGCCACCAGATCCAAAGAGTTCTCCAGCATGATTGGATGGAGAACCCACGGATGGGTTGTCTTAATCTATCTGCTCCAATTAGACTAAGTCTGAAATTTAGTACCGCCCCCTCTGTGCCAACTGCACCCCAGTTTTAGACTTAGTCTCTTTGCCCCAAGACGCGTTTTGTCTTCGCTCCTGGAGCAGAAAACTGTTTAATTCTATTTAATTACTTAGCTCAGGCTATTATTATTATTTGTTATTTTATTATTGATTCAGAATCGATTATATCTAGAAGAAAGATCAATTATCCCAGTCTGAAGCCTATTCAGGCTGACTGACTCACAATCCTCTCCCTCTGGGGGGGGAGGAAACTTTTCCCTTCTTTGTTTTCCTCAGTTAGGGACAGCAAGATCAAACCTTTGATTTAGGTCGTTTTCAGAGCCTCATCAAGCCTGGAGGGAGCCTTCCCAGGTCCCTCGGCCCCAGCAGAGAGCAGCAGGTGAGAATTTGGGCGCGGCCCAATTTTCGGAGCCGGGAGGGCCTGTCCGGCCTTGGACGACAGCTTTTCCAGCCGGCCTAATCACATGCCACCAGCTGCTTTAGGAGCCCAGGCGATTCACCTGAACGAGGGCTCGTTGCAGCTTAGACCCGAGGCCTCAAGGCCTTCTCCCAATTTTCGGAGCCGGGAGGGCCTGTCAGGCCTTGGACGACAGCTTTTCCAGCCGGCCTAATCACATGCCACCAGCTGCTTTAGGAGCCCAGGCGATTCACCTGAACGAGGGCTCGTTGCAGCTTAGACCCTAGGCCTCAAGGCCTTCTCCCAATTTTCGGAGCCGGGAGGGCCTGTCAGGCCTTGGACGACAGCTTT